TCGGCAACGTTTTGCCAGATTGTTTCTGATTTTAGTCTCTACGGGGAGTTAATTTCAATAGTATACACACAAGATTTGAACCAAATGTAGCTGTAAAAGTAAAAAATATCTATCTCTTTCGAAGGCGACCGCTGATATTTTGGCTGAAATTGTATTTGATAAAGTGCTCTAAAGCTTCACCGAAATTCGTCCACATCACGTATTACCTTTTTAAACTGATTAAAACAATTTAATGGTTCTGAATACGGAGATACAAAAGTTTGGCAAGTAATCATCGTTGCATTAGTTACATGCATAATGACAAGTTTGCCATCAGTTTTGACAACATCTGCATCGACAATTGATTCGAATGCATTTGCTTCACCTTATCTTGAGGTAAATACATGGGCATGGTTGTATCCTCGATGCATGATGCTATGATACTATGCATTAAAAGTACTGACTTCTGTGATGTATTAATTTTCATATGCACTCAGCCAGAGCTTGGATTCTGCTTTGTTAACTGATGAGCTGATGTATTAAACTGGGTGTCGCACAATGTACTTTTGGTTTGCAGGCATGATGAGGGATGATTTCAGCGCAATAGTCGCAAGTGTGGTGATTGAAATGGATGGTTTTGTGCGCTTTTCTTTGTATTCGTCAAAATCCATGCAGTGTCCGGCTGTAGTTACCAAACTACGATATACCTTCGGTTGCAAGGTGGGTCGTTGTAGAAAAAGTTAATCTGAATGCACTCCTCATGATAGCTAGTTGTCGGACTTGCACTTTCAAGTACAAAGATCATGGAAACAAGAAAAACGATACAAAGCGCCGTCATTTTCTGCTTAACATCGATAAATGACCACTGTTATTTAGACTTTTTCCCTTCTTCAATCATAGGACGTACGACTCAGGATAAGGCAATAAGTAACTTTTACTTATCCTAGAAAGCTGCTGAATACTGGCTCATTTAGCCCTACCTATACATTGTTGCCACATTTTTACAATCTTACAGATACCACCAACTTCGCCCATCAGTTCGAAGACGCTGATGAGCAGCACTGCCATTAACATCCTGTGACTAGTGTCCAGTCCACCATTTGATAACTAAACTTTATGCAGTGGCTGGACATTGCTGTGAGAAATTACTGTGCATGACATCTGTCGCTTTA